GTTAGGGGACAGGGAGTTGAGGCAAACCTAAGTGAGCCCTGTCTGAGATGAAGAGCCGCTGCTTCCAGTTTGACAGCCCTTTGGTCTCATTCTTGCGGATCTCGTCAAACAGTTGCGACAAATGGATGACAACCCCATTGCCAACCACTGCCACACAATTGCTGTTAATTATACCACTCGGCAACAGATGAAAGTCAAACTCCACGTTCCCGACCACTACGGTGTGACCCGCGTTATTGCCTCCCTGTCCAACACATTGCACACAAATAAATCAATTTATGGCTGTTTTCAAACGAAATGCACACCATTTAGTCAAATGTCTTATTAATAACATATTCATGATTTTATTCAATCATTTAAATGTTTAGTCATTGCTATTGACTCTCATTAGGAATCAATGCTATAATGAAACAGAATTTCAAAGAATTCTTGACAACCAATGGAGTGATAAATATATAAAAATCTATACAAATATCATGAGAAGTGTTGAGTACATACCTGACACCGACAGACAATGTCTGCATCCATGGCCAGAAGGTCGACCACTTTGCCTTTGCCCTCATCACCCGTAACCCGCGGGTTGTGTTGTGTGCGAAACGACACTAAGAACCCACCTGACGGTAACCTCAACGGCAAGTCTACTTGGTTTAAGAACTGCAAAAGGAGCGAAAGGTAGCGAATACTCCAGAGTTTGTCACAGCTATTCTCAGCAGTGAATTGAGGCCACAATTGTCTGCAAACACTGTGACAATGATAGCAATGATAGGCAACACAACAGCTATTTATTGCTAAAACTAATGCCAAATAAATATCAAAGTGTTAGCCAAACATATGATGCGATAAAGCGATGCAAAGACAATATTAGCTCAACTCCACAGACAATGTTCACTACTATTGCCTGTACTTCGCTCCACACAACCATACAGTCCTATGCAATGCCTGTGCAATACATGTGCGCTCAGACTCCCGGAGCTCATAGATATAGTGTATGCGTGCTATGGCTATGACAGTGAACGCTATGATAGTGTGTGTGTCCAACAGAATCGCACAGCTATTCGATGCCTTTCCCTTCCACTCCCTCTCTAGTCTACCCATACATACGGTTGTCGTCAAAGACTTTTGGAACTGGTGTTTGTGAGTCGGTGTGTATGTATGTGTGCGAGGAATGGCTTGTATTCATTGAGTTTCACGAATAACGAGCAATATATTGACAACAAATTCATTTGTGTATATATTTTGAGCACATTTTCAGTGATTAGTTTTGAGTGAAATCTAATCACTTGTTAAATAAACAGCACATTAATTGTACGCTAATATAACCGTTAAAATGTGTCAGTGCTTAGTTAGTAAGAATTAACCTAGCTTATCACTCGCAGTCATGTGATTGATCCGGATATACACCAGTAAAATGACCCAAAAAACAAATGAATCCCAAAACGAAACCACAAATTCTTGGCTCAAAAAAGTTTTCATTTCTTGAATTCTGGAGTAAAACAGAGAGAAAGCAATGAATAGATGAATGAATTGATTAAAACATTTGACGACAAAAACTGGTTTCCCACACAAATCACAAGCGCTTGTCTCACATGTCTGGTTAGGGTTGAGGTCGAGGTCTTGAGCACACATTTCATGGCAATTATCCATACAGACAGCCATAACCACAGCCAACACTTAACTCATTTGCTATTCAAATCATACCCCAAGACATGAGTCAATCAAATGCACATTCATTTGGCAATAATATCGGTGCCGGCGATAGTGATAGTGAATACATACTCGTTGTGGACATCGGGACCACTAATCTTCGGTTTGTCTCATTATCTGAGTAATTGATGATTAATTGATTATATGTGCCATCAGTGGACACATCTACGACATCAGGAGTCGACTGATTGGCGAGTCTGTCATCCCAATTGAGTTATTGAACCCACGTTTGGGTTACTATGAGATCGACGCACAATCACTTTGGGAGGCATTCCTCCTATCCATCCAAAGAGCCATTGAATGTATGACTAAACTCAGCGATTAATGAACATATGAGTTGATTGAGTGGTGATTATCTCCCTCAGTGGCCAACATCAGTATCACACAAATACTATGCATCGGAATCTCCACAATGAGGGGAACATTCATCACGTGGGACCGGGAGACGGGACAACCATTTCATAACTTCATCACATGGAAGGACATCCGATCGGAACAGCTGTGCAACCAATGGAATGACTCGATGCGCATGAAGTGCCTTAAAATGGGCGCCAAATTTGTCCACTTCTTCAGCCGTTCCGATCGCTTTTTGGCCGCTTCTCTGCTGAGGTTCACCACAGGAATGGTTGTCATGAGATTGGTTTGGGTTCTGCAGAACATCCCGGAAGTGAGACAGAGGGCCGTCGAGGGGAACGCCCTCTACGGGACGGTCGACACGTACCTCATANCCGCCTTCAAAGACAGCACAACTCAACACAACTCAATCATAAGTGAAATGCGCTCGCAATACCTTTGTGGCATATGTAGGGCCGATGCCCTTCTTCGTCGTCCCGATGCTCTTCTTTCCCCTGTCTTTCTCTTGCAATCCATCGACCGTTTGGTGAAAATCAAACACTAATCGCATAGAAAGCAGTCAATTATGGGTGACATTCATGTTAGGGGACAGGGAGTTGAGGCAAACCTAAGTGAGCCCTGTCTGAGATGAAGAGCCGCTGCTTCCAGTTTGACAGCCCTTTGGTCTCATTCTTGCGGATCTCGTCAAACAGTTGCGACAAATGGATGACAACCCCATTGCCAACCACTGCCACACAATTGCTGTTAATTATACCACTCGGCAACAGATGAAAGTCAAACTCCACGTTCCCGACCACTACGGTGTGACCCGCGTTATTGCCTCCCTGTCCAACACATTGCACACAAATAAATCAATTTATGGCTCTTTTCAAACGAAATGCACACCATTTAGTCAAATGTCTTATTAATAACATATTCATGATTTTATTCAATCATTTAAATGTTTAGTCATTGCTATTGACTCTCATTAGGAATCAATGCTATAATGAAACAGAATTTCAAAGAATTCTTGACAACCAATGGAGTGATAAATATATGAAAATCTATACAAATGTCATGAGAAGTGTTGAGTACATACCTGACACCGACAGACAATGTCTGCATCCATGGCCAGGAGGTCGACCACTTTGCCTTTGCCCTCATCACCCCATTGGGCGCCCAACACAACACACGCTTTGCTGTGATTCTTGGGTGGACTGCCATTGGAGTTGCCGTTCAGATGAACCAAATTCTTGACGTTTTCCTCGCTTTCCATCGCTTATGAGGTCTCAAACACACAGCTATTCTCAGCAGTGAATTGAGGCCACAATTGTCTGCAAACACTGTGACAATGATAGCAATGATAGGCAACACAACAGCTATTTATTGCTAAAACTAATGCCAAATAAATATCAAAGTGTTAGCCAAACATATGATGCGATAAAGCGATGCAAAGACAATATTAGCTCAACTCCACAGACAATGTTCACTACTATTGCCTGTACTTCGCTCCACACAACCATACAGTCCTATGCAATGCCTGTGCAATACATGTGCGCTCAGACTCCCGGAGCTCATAGATATAGTGTATGCGTGCTATGGCTATGACAGTGAACGCTATGATAGTGTGTGTGTCCAACAGAATCGCACAGCTATTCGATGCCTTTCCCTTCCACTCCCTCTCTAGTCTACCCATACATACGGTTGTCGTCAAAGACTTTGGGAACTGGTGTTTGTGAGTCGGTGTGTATGTATGTGTGCGAGGAATGGCTTGTATTCATTGAGTTTCACGAATAACGAGCAATATATTGACAACAAATTCATTTGTGTATATATTTTGAGCACATTTTCAGTGATTAGTTTTGAGTGAAATCTAATCACTTGTTAAATAAACAGCACATTAATTGTACGCTAATATAACCGTTAAAATGTGTCAGTGCTTAGTTAGTAAGAATTAACCTAGCTTATCACTCGCAGTCATGTGATTGATCCGGATATACACCAGTAAAATGACCCAAAAAACAAATGAATCCCAAAACGAAACCACAAATTCTTGGCTCAAAAAAGTTTTCATTTCTTGAATTCTGGAGTAAAACAGAGAGAAAGCAATGAATAGATGAATGAATTGATTAAAACATTTGACGACAAAAACTGGTTTCCCACACAAATCACAAGCGCTTGTCTCACATGTCTGGTTAGGGTTGAGGTCGAGGTCTTGAGCACACATTTCATGGCAATTATCCATACAGACAGCCATAACCACAGCCAACACTTAACTCATTTGCTATTCAAATCATACCCCAAGACATGAGTCAATCAAATGCACATTCATTTGGCAATAATATCGGTGCCGGCGATAGTGATAGTGAATACATACTCGTTGTGGACATCGGGACCACTAATCTTCGGTTTGTCTCATTATCTGAGTAATTGATGATTAATTGATTATATGTGCCATCAGTGGACACATCTACGACATCAGGAGTCGACTGATTGGCGAGTCTGTCATCCCAATTGAGTTATTGAACCCACGTTTGGGTTACTATGAGATCGACGCACAATCACTTTGGGAGGCATTCCTCCTATCCATCCAAAGAGCCATTGAATGTATGACTAAACTCAGCGATTAATGAACATATGAGTTGATTGAGTGGTGATTATCTCCCTCAGTGGCCAACATCAGTATCACACAAATACTATGCATCGGAATCTCCACAATGAGGGGAACATTCATCACGTGGGACCGGGAGACGGGACAACCATTTCATAACTTCATCACATGGAAGGACATCCGATCGGAACAGCTGTGCAACCAATGGAATGACTCGATGCGCATGAAGTGCCTTAAAATGGGCGCCAAATTTGTCCACTTCTTCAGCCGTTCCGATCGCTTTTTGGCCGCTTCTCTGCTGAGGTTCACCACAGGAATGGTTGTCATGAGATTGGTTTGGGTTCTGCAGAACATCCCGGAAGTGAGACAGAGGGCCGTCGAGGGGAACGCCCTCTACGGGACGGTCGACACGTACCTCATATGGCGACTCACGTCCGGCAAAGTTCACGCCACGGATCCGTCCAACGCCTGCATCACCGGCTTCTACGACCCGTTCCTCATGCGATGGGGGGAGTGGGCGCTCAATATGCTGGACATCCCGCCGTCGATACTGCCCACCGTTATGGACACCAACGGAGACTTCGGCCAAACGAACGCCCAGTTTTTGGGCGCTTCCATACCGATCCGGGCGGTGGTGGGCGACCAACAGGCGGCTATGTTTGGCGAGTGCTGTTTCCGCGAGGGCGACGTCAAGTGCACGTTAGGCACCGGCACTTTCATCAACATCAACACCGGTATCAAACCCTGCGCCTCCTATAAGGGGTATAACAGTTGTGGTCACTCTTTGATTCAATTGTGTGACTCATTGTTTGGTTAAACGTTTAGTTTGTATCCAATAATTGGCTGGAAATTAGTGAACGAGAAGAATGCGGTGTATCTGATGGAAGGCGCCTCCTATGACACGGGAACGGCTGTCAATTGGGCCCAAAATATCGGTCTCTTCAAAGACCCGCAAGAGACCAGCGAATTGGCTGAAAGTGTGTCCAACAGTAATGTCTGTTTCATTCCGGCCTTTTCGGGTCTTCAGGCGCCCATCAATGATAACACGGCCACCACTGCCTTCATTGGCATTAACTCCAGGTTTGAATGATTCTCATATTTATAATTATCACAAGAAGTGATTTATTGAATCGTATATCATATTTGCAGCACAAGTAGGGCTCAAATGGTTAGAAGTATATTAGAGTCGATTTGTTTTCGTGTGAAACAAATGTATGAAATTGTTTTGGAAGAGCAAACAAATCTATTGATCCGACAATTCCGGTATTTAAACCATTTTATCACACATTGAGTCCATTAACACAGCATTTGATTGGTTGACACCTTAGTATCGACGGCGGCGTCTCCAACAACGACTTCGTGGTACAAATGATCGCCGACTTGACGGGAAAGAAGGTCGAGCGGGCCCACCATCGAGAGATGTCCTCATTGGGCGCCGCCTTTATGGCCGGTCTGGCGGTCGGATTCTGGACCAACACTAAACATATCTCTAGTCTTCGCGTATCGGACAAAGTGTTTCTTCCGAGGAATAACTGGACGAACACTAACCGCAATAAGTTCGAGACGTGGGAACGGGCTGTCCATCGGTGCCTACATTGGCACCACTGATACCAATGATTATCATTAGATTTATTAGTTAATTGTTAGTTAATTATTAGTTGTGTTCATTTGATAGCAATTTATTTTTTATATAACTTTTAAAAAAGACATCTAATATATGCATTAATATATACATATATACCGGTATACTCTCCGTAACCAAAGTTGACAAATAATTTGTTGAAAAGTGTTTGCGAAACAATCATTAAATCCATTCAATCGTTAATAAAGTTAATTATATAATATATGCATTAATATATACATATATACCGGTATACTCTCCGTAACCAAAGTTGACAAATAATTTGTTGAAAAGTGTTTGCGAAACAATCATTAAATCCATTCAATCGTTAATAAAGTTAATTATATTTATAATTAGTTTTAATTAAATGACAACTTTTGGCGACAAAATTACTTTTGTTACCGAAAAACGTAACGTTATTTATGACGAGAACCCAATGTTTTGATGGATTGAGTGGTGAATTGGTTTTGAAAGTGATTTGAGGTATGAATTGAATTGTGGTGTGAATTGAAGACAATTGTCGACCGCAGCCATGGATCAGCCGTCGAGCGACACGTTCAGCGAAATGCAAGCATTCAAGCGAAGACAGACATCACTTCGGGAACGACTGCAGCGCCGCAAGAAAGAGACGGAAGACATCCTCACCGGTAGTGGCGTTCAGACGGACCGACAGCCCATCACTCCAGACCTGCTGTCCTCCAGAGCCGCCGACACGTCGGCCGTCGACTCAACCAAATACCAGACAATTGAGAGACAATTACTGCACTTCTTGTGCGACCAAAGCGTCAAACTTCCCATCGATTCCAATGTCTTGTGCTCTCATATCATCAAAAGCTGCGATCAAATCGATGACCAAAACTGTCACCAATTGGTCACCGATTTGTTGCAGAAGTTCTCACTTCAAGACCTGATTGTTATGTCTGAGAATGTGGTGAAGACGTCTAATGTGACCGTCTATTCGATCACATCATTAGATCACTTAAAGCTCACAAACTTTGCCCAAGAAATGGATGCCATCGGTGGTCACCACTTGGCCACCACTGTAGACACAGCTAATAGTGTGAAACGTGTGAACAATCTGTGCGGTGACGACAAGAGTGACACAAAAAGGACTAAAATGGACGACAAAAGCGATGATCTGTTGGAAAGTCTGCTCTCTTTGCCGACAATCAGAGAAAAGCAAAGCAAACAAATGGGTGAAGAAATACTGGATCTGTTGTCGCGGCCGACGGCCAAAGAGCGGTCTCTTGTGGAACAGTTTCGGTCTGTAGGCGGCGCTCAGGTCCAGGAGTTCTGCACTCACGGCACGGCCCAGGAGTGCAGGAAAGCCTCTCAGAGTGACAGCGCCTGCAGTCGACTCCACTTCAAGAAAATCATTCAAAAACATACGGACGAGTCGTTAGGCGACTGCTCTTTCCTCAACACATGCTTTCACATGGATTCGTGTAAATACGTCCACTATTTGGTCGACTACTCGACCGCCCGACCCCTCAAACACAAACAAAAGACAGACACCAATACTGCCAACACTGTCGCCGACACTACCGGCGAATCCGGTATCAGTTTATCGACGATAGAGAAGCGCTATAATCGCATCCTATTCCCCGCCCAATGGATTAAATGCGATCTCAGGTTCTTCGATATGAGCACATTAGGTAAGACTACCGGTGCCCGCATTCACTTGCCTAATGAATCTGTAAACTATGTATTTCAGGCAAATTTGCGGTCGTGATGGCTGACCCGCCCTGGGATATACACATGGAGTTACCGGTAATTTCTATGCAAACCCTTTACTAAAAGCAACACTTTTCTCATACAAAAAATCATTTCATTTGATGCGAAGTACGGGACGATGTCTGACGACGAGATGCGGAACCTGCAGATACCGGCGCTCCAGGACGAGGGCATCATATTCCTGTGGGTGACGGGCCGGGCCATGGAGTTGGGCAGAGAGTGTCTGAGTCTGTGGGGGTACGAGCGGTGCGATGAGATAATATGGGTGAAGACGAACCAATTGCAGCGCATCATCCGGACGGGAAGGACCGGCCATTGGCTCAATCACGGCAAAGAGCACTGTCTGGTGGGCATCAAAGGCAACCCGCAGGGGGTCAACAGGGGGTTGGACTGCGACGTGATTGTGGCCGAAGTGCGCGCCACCAGTCATAAGCCGGACGAGATATACGGCATAATAGAGCGCCTGAGTCCGGGCACCCGTAAGATCGAGCTGTTCGGCCGGCAGCACAACACACAACCCAATTGGTTAACGTTAGGCAATCAGTTGGATGGCGTCAGACTCATAGAGCCGGCGCTCATCAAACACTACACCGACAAATACCCCGATCACGCCATACACATCCCTACTTGAAAGTCACTCATTAATTCACTGAAACTTATCTAAAGTTTTATTTGTTTTTCAGCACAAAATAATCAAAATTATAGATAAACTCTTTTAAAATTAATTGATTGTTTCGGTTAATTAATTTTCAAATAAATATATCATAATTCGTGAGACATTACAAAAAATTAATGTTTTCATCATATTTTTCTTTTTCATTAAAATATTTTCCTTAAAATATAACAGAATTTTGGCTCTAAATTCAGTTTTTATAAATTATTTTTATATATTACTTATTACAATAAATATAGTTTACAATTTGTATAATTAATTAATTAAATATTATAATTACAATTACAACATACAGTTTGATGCTTGAAATTGATTACTAATTTAGGGTTAGGTAGTGGGTTCATTTATGTGGTAAATGAAACAATTGTAAATGAAATAGATTACAAAGCAATTAAAAATATTGCAATTCTTTCAAATGAATGTAAAGCAATAGTAAAGTGAAATTTCATACTTTGAAGCAATGAATGGATTTATGGACTCAAACCTAATTAGAAACGACGGAAGTGTAGTCCAACAGATGAGTCGGGCTATCGGTTTACCTCAAACTTTCAATACTCTATTCTTATTCAACCAAAATCCATAGGACTTACAGTTATTATAGTCTATGCCACATAGTGTAGTAGTATAGCCAAAACCATTACATACCTGTTGTTCGTGTGCTGAACATAAATGAATAACAATTTTGTCGGAAACTCAATACAATCTCTCATCAATGCCTCGATTAATAGTCATTTGCCATCAAATGAGTAAAACAAATGTAAATTCATTAGAATGAGAGTGAGATTGTCTTTCAGATTAATCAGATTTAAGTATTTTGTTTCTAACTTTCAATTATAAAACAATTATACACTACATTTTCCAAGTCTATGCTCAACTATTCTTTGTCGAGTATATTCTTATAGATTAGAAATCTGTTTAAAAACTATTGAATTGTTTCTATAAATAGTTGTTTAAAAACTTATTCGCGAAAAAAAGATTTCAAATTCCTTTTGTGACAAAAATGAGGAAACTCTGGAGATTTCTTTTGGCAATATTTTGATGGCTTTGTATATTTGCAGCGAAAACCTCTATACAAACGCTCCGTACATACTCCGTATTGTATAAAGTATATGTCATAACAAGTTATAGATTTAATCTATTTATAGGTAGTTCTCTCGGAGTTGGCCTTTGATGTGGTGAACAAAACAATATTATTAATGGTATTGTCATCACAGCCGTAGAGTATTGTATAAAGTATATGTCATAACAAGTTATAGATTTAATCTATTTATAGGTAGTTCTCTCGGAGTTGGCCTTTGATGTGGTGAACAAAACAATATTATTAATGGTATTGTCATCACAGCCGTAGTCATAGAGGACATCAATTTTCAAAATCAATTTAGCCTAAAGTGAAACATACAAACTATAGTGTGTAGTACACTGTGTATTGTACTCTACATTAGTATTAATTGTGTCTCTCATTGAGAGAAAACCTCCGCGATATTGAAAGCAGTTATAAAATTTGATTTCATTTTTGGTGGCATTATCTCTACGATAGATATTTATGCGGTATATATAGACCACTCTTATAGATAATGGCGTAATAATCATCTGACAATAGGGATTGAAAACTTTCAATTACTATCATCTGTGGGCCAAAGCTATGCGTTTTTTGGCAGTAATGATGAGTGGAGTCGAGTGGAGTGGAGGAGCTGCGAGAGCACAGGGAGATCAGCACCGAATCAATTGTTACTCTCATAGAGAGATATGAAGAGCGCATACAAACAGTTAGCTTAACGACGGGCGACGCGAGTGCACCAAAGTTTGGCAAACAATGCATTATTAGCGACCATTTCGACATCCATTTCCATCCATTGCCAACCACTGCCACAGCCATACCTCTCTCTCTCTCTCTCTCTCTCTCTCTCTCTCTCTCTCGCTCGCTGTAGTCCATAGTCACGTAATTTGTCACAAATAATAACGACAGTCTCGCAGCACTTATGAATACCCAATGGATTCAATCGATGGATTCGCCACTCGTTTGGTTTCAGTTTACAAACAATGAACGGAATAAATGATTACTTCTTTCGCTTGCGTTTCCATCCATTCGCTCACATCTTGCGATCGACTAATATATATAATCGCATCACTCGTCGCATCTCCTAATCTATACCACAGACTCAATGAATTGATGAGGAATTTAGACAAACATTCAAATACTTGACTCATATCTCCCGTAGGAATTGCTTTTGAGAATTGACTTTTTCACTTATGCTCTCAAATCTCTGATTATAATACAAATAATCTTTTTTATGTATTTTATAAAATGTATATTCTCGCAGTCATTCACGGTTTACAGTTAGCATTGAATTAGAATTAATTTTATACTGTACTCTACTGTACAGTATAGCCTACTGCATGCATGAAAGGGGCGTACCTCACCAGGGTTCATATTTCACAATATTCCAGAAATAGTCTAATTATTTAAATTAATGAGTAATTATATAAGAATTACTGATATCATAATATTCTTTCTAGTAAACTTTGTGCACTATATTTTATTCACATATGTTAGTGTTGATATGGTATATTTTCTAGGTAAACCAATTATATTTAAATATTAAAAACTTAATTTCTAAATAAATAGTCAATTTCCTATACCACTATCAGATTCTATGAGATAATTCATGCAATCTATGAATTGTGTATTGAGTTATTGTTACATCAAAGGTGTATAAAATAAATAAGTTATCCTTACTTTATATTTACATAAATAAATATTGTTACTAAAAATATTATAATAATAATTTCTGTAACTTATTCCGTTAAGGAATAACCTAGAATAATAACCTAGAAAATACCCTAAGATTAGATAGCAGCCTAATTTACCAAATATACTAACTTTTTATTAAACTTATTGCTGGCTATTATTCCTTTAGAAATACGGTAATATTCAACATAAATATAGTGAACATAATATCGAGACCTACATATAGCCCGCACCCGACCACCCCGTCAACCCATTCATAGCCACACACGCTATACAAACAGACCAGTCATTTGTGAATCAATAGCCGAGTCCTTCAATATTTGTTCACCAGATTTGCACACAAATTGAGTCCACTTTTAATTGATTCAACGCATAGGCCCTAAACAATTAGACCTAATGGATGGCAAACATGCATTACAATAGAATCAATAGCCGAGTCCTTCAATATTTGTTCACCAGATTTGCACACAAATTGAGTCCACTTTTAATTGATTCAACGCATAGGCCCTAAACAATTAGACCTAATGGATGGCAAACATGCATTACAATAGCCGACTGTCCTTCCCTATACCCCAACTGCTAACTCCCGCATTACCCCTAGATTTACACTACTGTTCATTTTATTACCTTGTTCATTTATTCTACCACCGACTCATTTTATTGGCACGTACTTTGGTGGGTCAATGAATTGGTACGTAATTTGTGTGCATTTTGTGGGCGATTGAGCCAAATGTGATGAATCGGTGTTTTTGTCATTGAATTCAACGTATTTTGCAATTGAGTTGTCATTGAATTGTTGTGACAAACAGTCAGTCATTGTGTGTAGTGTTTGGCATCCGTTGAACACAACAATTGTGTGAATCGTTTGATCGCATTATTACTGTTACTAATCGACGCATAAACACATTCACACATACATTGCCTGTCAGTGAGCACAGGGTGTGACACATCCCAGTCCTCCACCACCACTACACACATCCATTACCACACAAATCGGTATATCAATGATATGGACGCGCGAGTAGTCTGTGTGTTAACGCGAGTGCGTGTGATTGGCCCGTAGGTTGCGGTGATTGTCTGGAAATCTGGAACCATTGAACAGCAAACCCGTGTCGAGTACTTCTTCCGGAGCGTCAGTCATGTCGTCGATGTCGTCGCGAAAGCCGAAGGGAAGGGCGGCCACCAAGAAGAGGGCTCAGAGGGCCACCAGCAATGTGTTCGCTATGTTTGATCAGGTCTTACATCCTCACCACCGCTTCAGACACACCACTCGACACCACAACCACTCATACCATACCATCTGATTGATCCGTTTATAGGCGCAGATCCAGGAGTTCAAAGAGGCGTTCAATATGATCGACCAGAACAGAGACGGCTTCATCGATAAGGAGGACTTACACGACATGTTGGCCTCATTGGGCAAAAACCCAGAGGACGCCTACTTGGAGGGCATGATGAACGAGGCTCCCGGTCCCATCAACTTCACAATGTTCCTGACGCTGTTCGGGGAGCGCCTGCAGGGCACGGATCCCGAGGATGTCATCAAAAACGCGTTCAACTGTTTCGATGAAGACAACAGTGGTGTGATTCACGAGGAGAGGCTCAGAGAGCTGTTGACCACAATTGGCGAGCGATTCACCGATGAAGACGTGAGTGTTGACGACCAATGCGTTTGTGTTTCAGTCGTCGTTATCTACACAAACACAACAGGGTGTCCACCTGCTGTACATATCCCTCCGCGGGTAGCTATTCTTGCCTTACAAACTAATGGACCTCAAGTGAGCATAGGATTTTGTGCCGCGGTTTCTGTTCCTGCTGGTGTGAGTGGCGGATCGCAAGTGCCTTAAGAGTATTGTGTCTTAAATGTGCGCCAATTGTCGCCAAATTATTGTATTTAATGAAATTCTGATCACTTTATTTTGCACTTTATTTGCTTTTTATGGTATTTATAATAACTTTATAACATTTATACTAAACTTTATTTCTTAATAAATAGCAATATCTTTAAATTTATATGAAATGGTTTAAGTGTGCACTCCCTGTCCCCTACACCCATTGATTTCCTATGAGATTTTCAATACAGTACACCATTAGATGATTTAAAATGAATTTATTTGTACCGTAATTAGAAAATACAAAAATTGTAAGATATATACAATATATACAGCAATCGCATGAGTGGTCATCACATGGTTTCGCATCAAGTAGGGATGTGTATGGCGTGATCGGGGTATTTGTCGGTGTAGTGTTTGATGAGCGCCGGCTCTATGAGTCTGACGCCATCCAACTGATTGCCTAACGTTAACCAATTGGGTTGTGTGTTGTGCAGATGTGTTTGTGTTGTCCCACAGGTGGACGACATGTATAGGGAGGCGCCCATCGATAAGAACGGAATGTTTGATTACCTGGAGTTCACTCGTATCCTAAAACACGGCGCCAAAGACAAGGACGACCAATGAGTGGCGGATCGCGAGTGCCTTAAGAGTATTGTGTCTTAAATGTGCGCCAATTGTCGCCAAATTATTTAATGAAATTCTGATCTTTATTTTGCACTTTGTTTGCTTTTTATGGTATTTATAATAACTTTATAACATTTATACTAAATTTTATTTCATAATAAATAGCAATATCTTTAAATTTATATGAAATGGTTTAAGTGTGTACTCCCTGTCCCCTACACCCTGAATGTTATTGTACTCATAATGATCATTGATTTCCTGAGATTTTCAATACACCATTAGATGATTTAAATGAATTTATTTGTACCGTAATTAGAAAATACAAAAATTGTAAGATATATACAATATATACAGCAATCGCATGAGTGGTCATCACATGGTTTCGCGTCAAGTAGGGATGTGTATGGCGTGATCGGGGTATTTGTCGGTGTAGTGTTTGATGAGCGCCGGCTCTATGAGTCTGACGCCATCCAACTGATTGCCTAACGTTAACCAATTGGGTTGTGTGTTGTGC